AGTCTTTACCCGCAGCATCAAACAAGTCAAGCTTCAGAAATAATGGCATGATGCCAGAAATGCTTACCCCAACTCAAAGACAACTGTTGCAAGCAAATTTTCTTCAATTTTGCTGTCCTTTTTCAACACAGCTAGATGTAAGAATACAAAATAATCTGTTTTATATGCTTCCTCACATCAGTGGGACACCCGGTTTACTTTCAATAAAATAGTTCCTAAATACACTGCACATTGTTGAAAACCTGCCCTTGCGGCTTCCTGTTTAAAAAGCAGATTGACTGTCGGTTTAACGATAACAAAGTGTGGAGTTGGGGGAACACAGCAGGCCAGGCAGGAATCAGAGCAACAGGAAAGCTGACGTTTCGGGTCAGGACTCTGTTTACTATGTTCACACGTGAGTCTTCCCACCTCAATGTATAAAATGGAAAGTAGAAAGAAAGGAGCATGGTCTGTCTGTTTGAGATTGACTCACATTTCAGCAAATGTCCAACAGGCAGAGGGGGCAAAGAATATTCTTTCTCCAGTGCAACACCCTTCCAGTGTTTTTCATGTCTATAGAATGATCATTTCCAAATTGTTCGACAAGCATTAATTTTTCAGCATCCATCCCATCCAGTAATTTTAGAAAGACAACAAAAAAAGACAGCTAATGATTTTATTCAGTTGAACACAATAAATGCAAAGAACAATGTTTTTCGAATCACCAACAATTTGTACACAGAATGTTACAGTGATTGCATTGACAGATTGTATTTCAAAAACAATATTGCATCTTGTGTCTCTGAATTTACTGTAACTGTTTTTTCTCCCCAGCCGATTCAGTTCCCATTTTAAAGGTCTGCTTCACTGCTGGTGGTGAACCTCCAGGCTTTTGGGACAATAGCCGTTTTTCAGGTGTGAATCTAATCAGGTTGTGTTTTTAGAGACTCCACTCCTGGAGCTGAAAGGCACTGAGAATTGGATCAGAACAGCGCTCTGATGGTGTTGATGACATTGCCAGGAGGAGAGTCTCCAAGAACTTCTCTACAATGAGTGCTTAGCTTGCCCTGTGATTATAGAACGTCAACCGTTATCCCCAGTTGTTCACCAAAGGCCACCTATCAGAGTGACAACTTGGTTGAACCATCCCTCCCTAGCCCAAGGGAGCGTATCAGGGTAGAGCGTCCCTAAACTTCCTCCATTCCCTTCTTCCCCGTCCCAACCCCACCATTCTTGTCCCATTTAGGCAGCTGAAGTTTGCATACCGCTCAGTAACAATTAGGGAAGTACCACGGATTTGGCTGAGCTGATTGATCAATTCTACCAACAACTTTTATTCTCTTGGGATCCCAGATACAATCCACCTCCAGGTCACTTGGTACCATGCCACAGTTTGGAGGACACCAGGCAGTATCATAACCATGATCATGCCATGTCTTCTGGAGTGGGTGCCCTTGACAATTTATCGTTTTGACCTTACCCACATTAACTCTTAATTTAAGCACAACCTTCTGACTCTCAGGCGTATTCAATGGATATCTGCAGGCTTTCCGAATATCCCGACTGACATAGACTCCACGGCCCAGCATGCCATCAGGGGATTGTTTGAAACCATACTTCAGAATGGTATCTACATGGTTGACATGGGTGCCATGGTACATCACATAGACCTTGCCGTTCTTTGGTCTATTGCAACATTTAAAGCATGATTCAACGAAATGACGTGCATCCTCTTCATCCCACTTACTTTCATGAGCACATGCCATGCTAACCGGTGAATTTATAAACTTGATCTTGAACTAAAGAATTTTTAAAAAATGAAGAAGAAGACAATTTAATTCTGTGCTGAGTCCCTCGTATTGTTATTGCTCATTAGCAAACTTTATTAATGGCACTTACACTGAAAAAGGCACTTCCGTTGAGTAAAGATTTTGGTCCCAACACGATGCAACATTTAAAAGCTGGTCTCTGCTGTTGAGCTCCTACTATTATCCCCTTTCTGAAAAGGTGCCAGGGTCTCTCACTTGATGAAAAGCTCTCTCTCCTGTGGAGATCAGGTAAAGAGAAGATTTGGTTTGACTCTGATGCCTGAGGAGTGAAAAAACTCCATGTTACACTCAATCCAAGGCTCACACAGAACGATCCTCACGGGATGACATGGCAATGTGCCCACACCCCAAAAATGGACACAAACATAAATGATGGTATCAACTTTGAGAAGTTGTTCGTGGCATTGTAACAAATCCTCAATCATCAACAGCACGACTCAGCAGCTCTTTTGCAGAACTGTTTGAATTTGCACTTTGTGATTTCTTTTCAAAAACAAATTCAGAATTTTAAGAGCTTTGTGTCAGCTGCAGATTCTTTGATAGTACTCTTGCCTCGAGTCTAAACGTCTGGGATTCAATTCCTACTTTGCGACTTGCGCACAAAAATCTCGGCCAACAGTCATCAGAAGTTAAACAGAGGCCTAATTTATCTGAAAACAAAAAGTGCTGGAGATCACAGCAGGTCCAGTAACATCCATGGAGAGAAAGCAAGCTCATGTTCAGAGCTGTGATAAAGAGTCATCTAGGCTAGAAACGTTAGCTTGCTTCCTCTCCATGGATGCTGGCTGACCTGCTGTGATCTCCAGCAATTTTGGCTTTCTGCACAGATTCCACCAACTGCAGTAATTTGCTCCTGCTTTATTTATCTGCTTGGCTGGATGTAAAAGATCAAAGAACAGCAGGGTAGTTCTGCCCAGTGTCTTGACTAACACTTAACTTTCAATCACAAATGTGGATTACTTTATCATTGTCATATTACGGACAATGAGAATTTGCTGTGCGTAAGTTGGCTGCACATTTCCTCCTCTAAAACATTGGCTGTAAACTTCCTTGAGATGCCCTATGCTGTGCAAAATGGTGCATTGATGTTTCTATTTTGCTTTTTTTAATTGTGTCTAGCAGTCTCAGTTGTCTTATCTTTATAAAAATATGTTTGAATCTCTGGGATAGTAGGAACTGCAGATGCTGGAGAATCTGAGATAACAAGGTGTAGAGCTGGATGAACACAGCAGGTCAAGCAGCATCAGAGGGGCAGGAAGGCTGACGTTTCGGGTCTAGACCTTCTTCACTCTGGTCTGATTTGATAGTATTGAAGGTGATATTTCCCATGCTATTGGACATTTGTTTGCACAATGCTCCATGACTCACAATTCTGAAACATCACAATTAAGAATCACGATTTGCAGTGAAAAATATTTATTCTTCTTTGTTAGACTTCATTCCTGTCCCTTGTTAGAATTCATGGGCACAATGCCCCAAATTTTACATAACACTCTCGATGTCATTTCAACAGAGTGAAATCGTTTTCCAGGGAACATGTTGGGAAAGATTGAGTTGTCCTTACAATATTGTCCACGTACAACATCCAATTTTAAATGTGGTCACATCAATCAGAAAATATAAGGTGGAAAGCATTTCTCAATGAACTGGGCACTCTCTAAAACTAACTGACAAGCTGTTATTCTCTCATTACAAGCTGCACAAAGCTCAAAGTCAACATTGCAAAGACGAATTGAATAAACAGAAATAGTCATTGCTGGGGAAACTCAGAGATTAAACACACCGACTAACTATCAGTTTATTGTTCTTCACACTTACATTCCACTGGTCTCCGGGAACTGATCTCAGTTCAGCCATTTCCTTCCTGATAGAGGAGCACTGTATTAATTTCACCTCTGAAATTAAATTTGGAATCTTGCACTCTGCTGAGCAATTTGTTGTTGATTTGTAATTGTCCATTTCTCTTGCTTCTCATGGCCAAGTTCACCAATTCTCAGAAATCGTGTTAAACTGTCTCATGCACTTGAAGATTCCAATTCTCTCACACAAAGATCATTAAAGTTTCTTAATTGGCTCAATCCCAAAGGGGCAGTATTAGTTTTTGTTGTTCTCCTTTCGTTACCACTAAGTTTACAAAATATCACACACTGCTGCAGATATACTGCGTTGCACAATTCAATAACACGATTGTACACTGACCATATTAAAGGCACTAGAAGAGCCGATTCGACCTATTTCTTCTCATGCTGTCTCTTTAAAACATTTATTCAGTAAATCCCATTCCCCTGCTTTTCCCGCCATTCTGCTTGCTTTACAAAATATTTTCCTATTTTCATTTTGTAAAGTTGTTGAATCGAGTTCCACATCCCTTCTGCCAGTACATTCCAGATTTTAACAAATTGCTGAGTAGAGACAGGTCTCCTCATCTCCTTTCCAATACTTTTACAACTTAAACATTAACTGAACAGTCTGAAGTTTTTGGTACTTACCTCTTTCCTCAGTCGGTTATTCTGCCGAGAGACAAGATCTGGATTTTATAGGCTAATTATGAAAGTTTCGGTTTCCCTTTCTCCGAAAGAATGCAACGTTATTTCAAATAACCTGAATTTAAATACGAGGTTTGATCTATATTAAGACGCTCAAGTTAAACCCAACGCCCTGAACATTTTAATGTTTGTAATGGAGTCCCCCCTTACTCCCTCAGGAATCATTCAGATAAGTCAGATTTGATAGCCTTCACTGACTTTCAGATATGAGACATTGATATGATTTTCATTGATCAAGATTAGTTGTTCATTCCTTGAACAAGATAGCTGGGATCAATTAAAAATCAGAGATTGAGATTAAAAAAGGATGATAGCAACAGTGATTAAACAAAAAGCAAGGGACTGCAGATGCTGGAAATCAGAAACAAAAATAAAAACTGCTGGAAAAGCTTTGCAGGTCGAGTGACATCTGTGAAGAGAGAAGCAGAGCTGACATTTCAGGTCCAGTGATCCTTCTACAGGATGTTCTAAAGAAGGGTCACCTGACCCATAATGGTAACTCTGTTTTCCCCCCACAGATGCTGCCAGACCTGCTGAGTATTTGTGGGAATTTCTGTTTTTGTATCACAATAGTGACATCCAATCTTTCAGCAGAGACTGTCCAAAGCACATTGGAGTAATGTAATGAGGATCTAGAACATGACTAATATTCCACATGCACAGTTGTCTCGAAGGGGAGAAAATTAAACTTGTATCTCTCGTAGTTATTGGTAAAGATGGTCGCAGCCCATTCTCAGTCTGTCTGAGGTCTTGCGCACACATAAGGTTTGGGGTCCAGAGCCAATCTTGTTAAAGACAGATTCTACAACCACTGATAAGTCTGCTCCATGAGAACTGAGTGACCATTCATCCAGACATTTGTTTTAATTTGTTCTGATTTGATGTTGCTAAGCAATTTAATAGCTCCAACCCACATGCAGGTGGACTTTCCAGGGTGTACAATCTCCTGGATACAGGCCTACCAGTTTTCTTACTCAAGTCAGGCCTCACAGTACTCCTTTGCTTTCTTGAGCCCACACACCGGGAGCAACTACAATGCCTTGCTGACCCAGATCCTGAAGAACGTTTTAGCCATTTGGCAAAGGCTTGGTTTTCTTTTGAGATTTTGCTGTGGGCTGACCTAGGGTCCCTCTGCTCAGGATATGACCTGCCAGAGAGTCTGTGATTGTCTTCACTCAACTAATCTTCCACAATCACAGTCAGACAGGTGACAGTGTCCACTTACATTGGGATGCCCTGTAGCTCCCACACTCCACTTGCCACATTTTCTAATGACAAGGCCTATTGTGGTACCTGTTTGAAGGCGAGTTGGCCTTAAGGTAGTAGGCACTTCTTTCCAAACACTGGGCCGAGTCTTTACCCGCAGCATCAAACAAGTCAAGCTTCAGAAATAATGGCATGATGCCAGAAATGCTTACCCCAACTCAAAGACAACTGTTGCAAGCAAATTTTCTTCAATTTTGCTGTCCTTTTTCAACACAGCTAGATGTAAGAATACAAAATAATCTGTTTTATATGCTTCCTCACATCAGTGGGACACCCGGTTTACTTTCAATAAAATAGTTCCTAAATACACTGCACATTGTTGAAAACCTGCCCTTGCGGCTTCCTGTTTAAAAAGCAGATTGACTGTCGGTTTAACGATAACAAAGTGTGGAGTTGGGGGAACACAGCAGGCCAGGCAGGAATCAGAGCAACAGGAAAGCTGACGTTTCGGGTCAGGACTCTGTTTACTATGTTCACACGTGAGTCTTCCCACCTCAATGTATAAAATGGAAAGTAGAAAGAAAGGAGCATGGTCTGTCTGTTTGAGATTGACTCACATTTCAGCAAATGTCCAACAGGCAGAGGGGGCAAAGAATATTCTTTCTCCAGTGCAACACCCT